TACCCGCTAGAGGTATTTTCCCTTTATCTCGAGAACGAAAAGAGGTAGCGATTTGCGGTTTGCGGCATGTGAAAGAGGACGAAAAACTAAACAAACCTACCGCTTTCACTAATCGCCCATCTCGTCTCCTTGTATGAGAAATTGCGGCGGGTACCAGTCGGAAGAGGTTTTTTGAACATTTCTCCTAAACGGTACGTCGGAGAAAAACGGGCGAGGGTGGCTTTTGTTCTCCTCGAGATGGCGCGCAATTCTTCTTAGATCGTTTTTCACTCCGGGTACCCGTTCGTAAAAAGAACCCGTTTTAACGCATTTTGAACGGGTATTTTTCACATTTCGTCACTTTTGACACATTTTCGGTCCCCAATTGTCGACGAGGAGAATCGAATGCACTTTGAATGACGCAAATCGGCCGAGCCGTTTTCGAGAAACATTTGTATCGTTAATGAGTCACGCGTGGAGGTTTATATTTGCTGGATTTTAGCCCTGTGTATCAAAAATGATACACTGTGACGTTAGGGTCATAATTGACAAACACAAGCGTTATTATGAGCAACTATCATTTTTAAACGACACATCTTAGCTGTATTGAACACCACTAGGACGATCATAACTCGTTTTGTTCGAAATGGTTCGGAAATGTGGAATTTAGTTGTTTGGTTTTTAGAATATTTTTGCTTTCCACCGTTTTCCTACGATCCAAAATGTGTCATTCCGGGGCAAAGTGGTTTTTCATGAAGAGTAAAGCTTGCTGAATCTAGTGGCACTCGATGCCCCAACCTCACATAAAAACTAACCCGGCAAACTAGAGTGATCAAAAATGATACACTGTGACGTTAGCGGGGATGTTGTGACGCGCGACCCGCGGCGTAAAACCGATGAGCATCGATGAGCACTCTTTATATTTTACAAGTGTACATGTCTTGCTACTGATCCCGCAACCCGTGCGGTGCCAACCATGTTTTTAGAACCGCGCTGTGACCAAATTTCGCATGTATCAAAAATGATACACTGTGACGTAAAGGGGATGTCTGGACGCGCGACCCGCGTCGTGGGGCTAATGAGCACACTTTATATTTTACAAGTGTACATGTCTTGCTAGTGATCCCGCAACCCCTATGGTGCCAACCATGTTTTTAGAAACGCGCTGTCACCAAATTTCGGATGTATCAAAAATGATACGCTGTGACGTTAGGGAGGGGTATGTCTCGACGCCCGACCCGCGTCGTGAGGCTAATGAGAACTATGTATAGTTTACAAGTGTACATGTCTTGATAGTGATCCCGCAACCCGTGCGGTGCCAACCATGTTTTTAGAACCGCGCTGTGACCAAATTTCGCATGTATCAAAAGTGATACACTGTGACGTAAAGGGGATGTCTGGACGCGCGACCTGCGTCGTGGGGCTAATGAGCACACTTTATATTTTATGGCGACAAGTGTACATATCTTGATAGTGATATCGCAACCCCTACGGTGCCGACCATGTTTTCAGAACCGCGCTGCGACCAAATTTCGCATGTATCAAAAATGATACACTGTGACGTTAGGGGTATGTCTGGACGCGCGACTTACGTCGTGGGGCTAATGAGCACACTTTATATTTTACAAGTGTACATGTCTTGGTAGTGATCCCGCAATCCGTGCGGTGCCAACCATGCTTTTAGAACCGCGCTGTGACCAAATTTCGTATGTATCAAAAATGATACGCTGTGACTGACACTCCCGTACAGTTCCTGTAGTGTTCCGGGTGCTCTGGACTAGCCCAATATGCTTCACATGTCATCCATAAGACTCACCATGTATCAATGTACCATTAGAATCCCATGGAAAAAATGGCAAAAAACGACAAAAAAATGGGCCTCTACGTCACGGACGTTCATTTTTGATACACACAACTTTGCAAGCGTGTCACAATGCGAGTTTTTAAAATATCCTCGATCTGTCTTCGGCGCTGCTTACTTTGGATATTTGCCAACAAATCATGACCACTACCATGAAAATCCGACCCCTCTACCCGCAGCTATAGGCGCTGCAGTTAGGCCCTGCATGGACCCCCTCGCAGGCCTGTTTTTGGCGCGCCACAGCAACCCACCCAAAGCACTCAAGGGGTCGTAAGTGGTATGGATATAGTCGTCTGGACCTCCTCAAACGTATCCATGACAAAAACGTGATGTACCTCACAAGTAGTCGGCTCCAGGCCGTGTTTTAGGAGGTGTATCAAATTTGATACCTTGTGACGTAAAGGGTTAACTAGTCTAAGCGGTTCGACCTGGAATACCACCAAAAAAGGGCAAAAGATATAAAAAGCGTGATTTTTTGTGGAGACCTTCCCTAGACCCCAAACTTTGATTTGACCCGGAGCACATTCATTTCCGACCCATAGGAGCCGAGATTTTAACGCTTTTGTTCAAAATTTGTACAAAAATACCGAGAATGACAATTTGTCGCAGCGAGACCATCTAAAATACTTGCCCGACTAATTTTGACCTGAGAAATCGAACGGAACAATTTCCAGACCCGTCCGACCCTCCATTTAGGCCCCAGACGACGCCATTTTGAAAATGTGGGCCTAAATGGTGACACACAGAGTTTTACCGTAATAACCCGTGTGGGGTGTCGTTTCCGCATAATGTTACATCGCTGAGACCAAATGTGAGGTCTAATGAACCAAAAGTCGACTTTTAGTTCATTTAAACCACTGTATAACACGCTAAGTACATGTTCATAATGATCCAAAATTCGAATTTTTACTACATACGTAAAATTTGACTTTCATCTGCAATCTGTTAGAGTGAGAAAGTCGATGAAGCCTCCGGTTTGGCTGTAACATAGACACTATCCATTAAAATCGTCATATTACTGTTAAGGGTAATGTTTTTCTAAATGTTTTCGGAGTTATCCAACATATCCGGCGGGCTTCTTACCAGGGGAGGCAAATCTGGGGAAGTTCTCTACAGATATGTTGGGATGATGTTCCGTCGCCGGCTGGTTGGGGGTGGAAGATGGAAAATGGCCAGTGGGTCCCTCATTGGACAGCAGAGTCCAACATCTGGCAGGCGTTAAGGGATCTGAGTGTGTGCGGGTGTCGGTGTACAACAGGTTGCTCCACAAAACGGTGCTCCTGCAGAAAAGCTGGGTTACTTTGCACTCGTGCCTTGCAAAAAGTGCAAGGGAAGCTGTGACAACAAGGAGTAAGTCATATAGTTATCCAGGTAAACAAAGTATTAACAACCGACGGTAACCGATAATACTTACATTTTTTCCTTTCCTAGGAAGGAGAGTGAGAGTAATGCTCCCGAACCTGACGAGGACGTGGATGGGGACTTGCTCTCTTCCTAACTGTGTCCAATTCAAGTTTTCTATCTAAATTTTTTATAGTGTTTTACTTACTGACATTGCTACTTATTTACAATTTAATAATTGTAT